CTACTACTACTACTACATCATCATCATCATCATCACCATCATCATCATCATCAAACAGTAGGGCTAAAATACTACTAGTACTCATAGAAGCAATCTGATCAGCCCGGCCAGTCCCAAACTCTTTGCCTCTGAGCCCGCACTCTGCCATAGTGGCAGGCCATGGAGATTCGACTCCGGGATCGTGCGTTGTACACCACGCTTCGTTTTCAGGACAGGGTCTAGGGCTTTAGGGTTTGGGGTTTAGGGCCTAGGGTTTAGGGTAGGCCCGAGGCCTCAGAACTTTGGGCGGCTGGCAGAAGGGCGGGGCGTTTGAACCCTGCTGTGCCATGAAACAGTTACCAGCTGGATGCACAGGCTCGAGGTTGTGCACCTCGTCACTAGTCGCAGTCTCTCTGCTCCGTAGTATCTTACGTCAGGCATCCCAGGATCGCCTGACATCTGTATTCGCGTGAGTGGGAATCCGTTGATCCGGCTCCTTTGATCCCTTTAGACCATTGCTGAGTGGATGTCGGTCATACAGTGCTAGCCTACTAGATCTATTCGGATACACGGGTTCTAAACCCTACTACACCAAACCCTCAGCTTGCCAGAAATGCTGCGACATGCGCATCATCGGCTACGACCAAGAGAAGCGCCCGGTAGTCTATTTTTGCGCCTGGGGCTCGGGTGCACTGCCTCTGGGTCGGGGCTCCGGGCTCGCCGAATCCCCAGCCCCCCAAACCCTAAAACCCTACACCCCCAAGTCGAGACCCTGGAGCCCGCAACCCTCATGCTCAATCAAACCTTGCGGCCCAAAGCTGAGAGCTCTGAATCCCTGAATTTTTTTCGATCCAAGGCTTCTCTGGGATGAGATGCTCGTGGAACATTCGACCTCTTCCACGCACCCCAAACCCTAGCCCTTAACCCCATTCCCCAAACCTAAACCCCTTGAGCCCATAAAACCCCAAACCCCTAAACCCCCAAACCCTAAACCACCAAACCACGAAGCCCTAAACCCCTAAACCCCTTGAACCACTAAACCACCAAGCCCCTAAACCCTAAACCACTATAAGCCCTAAACCTTACAGGCCCTGAGGCTCTAAACCCCCCTAAGCCTGCAACCCTAAAGCCCTAAACCCTAAAACCCTAAAGCCTAAAACCCTACAGCCTACAACCCTAAAGCCTACAACCCTAAAGCTCTAAACCCTAAAAACCCTAACGCCTACACCTTTCTGGACACAGCGTACCTTTCTGAAAGCCTGCCCTAAACCCTAATGCCCTAAAGCCCTGAAGCCTAACAGCCTAAGGCCTATAACCCTAAAACCCTAAACCCTAAACCCCTCAACCCCTAAACCCCTCAAACGCTAAACCCCTAAACCCTAAAGCCCGAAGCCTAAACCTGCCACGAGGCCGCCACTCAAACCGAAGGATTGGGGCCGCAGCCTCAGATCTTGCAGCAAGAAGTCGGCTTTCGCATCCTTGACCGCAGTGAAGACACGAAAATCACAAACCATACCCTGTCTGAAGCGGGTAGGGTTGCAGAAGCTACCGTCTCACTGGACACGTTGGGCTTTCCCATCGTTGACCGGAGTTGAATCCGGCAAACGCTTAAAGGGTTTAGGGATTTAGGGTTTAGGGCTTGAGGGTTTAGGGGTTTAGGGGTTGAGGGGTTTAGGAAGTGTAGGTTAGGGTTTGGGTTCAGAAGTTCAGAGTTTCCAGGCCTGCAGATTTCAGCCGCAATCGGCACCGGCTTGTCAGAATTTGGGCAAGGCAGGCTCTCCGTCTGTACTATACCAGGGACATAGTTGTAATCTAAATCTCAATGAAAATAACACTGACACTTCAAATACTGATTCCAGAGGCAACGGCAAACAGTAATACAATGATGGTGGTACTCTACCAATATCAGCCATCATCATACTAAGACTAGTATCGTGACTGTAACAACCATAGGGCCATTTTCACTGTTACACTCCTCAAAACACCAGCATGAACACGCAAAACAGAACTACAACAGTTCCTTGGTGCTGGCCCGACAAGTATTCTAGCAAAAATTATATTCGCTAGACGAATCTTTGTACTACTCACGTTCGTG